CACAGAAGGGAGAGATGTTGAAGCAAGGATATGATGTCACCGGGGATCGAGCTTGGGACCTCACGTACCGAAGACCGCGCACTAAACAGCTGTGCCATCCTTACATACTCTGACTTCATAAAAAGTCCACATGTTTCTGTACAGCACTCACCTCCAGTGACAATATAACTGACCGACAGAGGATCGTGTTTTGTCCCCATCCCACTCAAGTCTCTGATACAAATCTTCATGGATTTCAGGCCAACTTCCTGAAATGGAACAGACGTCGCTCTGATGAAGTTGACTTTGCACCACATGCTCAATAATTATTAGAGGAAAGTATCACCTAGCATACCTCCACCCATGCTGTGACAATATTATTTTCTGGTAGATTTATGTTTTCTTGTTGCGGTTGTAATAGTGCTGAACGGAAACCAGGACCACAGGTAGCGCGTAGAAGGTGGTGTTGTAGTTGATATTCTGTTAAAACAGTTAATAGAGTGTAATAGACCTTTGCAACACAGCGGCCATTTTGTCTCATTTTGCCTCCGCGTGAGAAAGGTCTTATTACAGTAACTGAGTGAATCCTTGCGCGCTGATTGGTCGAGTCTATGGTCTATGAGAGTATAGACAATGGAAATGACGTAACGAAACTAAAAACAAATTTAATTGTAAAAAACAAATCGATCACAATTTTCCATGGTCTACGCTCTTGTAGAGCATAGAAATGACGACATAAAATGGTCAAAACTTTGCAGTGAAACCACTCGCTTGCGTCTTGTGGTTCCACTTGAGTTTTGAACATTTCATAACGTCATTCCTATGGTCTATAGGAGTGTAGACCATGAAAAATTGTGGTCGATTTGTTAAATATTCAGTCTTAGTTTGTTAACCTGAAAAATTGTACACGCAACGACAGAATATAGTACTAGAAATTATTGCGAAACCCTATCGATCATGACCGCAACTTCTAACATGTCATGGCAAGTTTACGGGATTTCTTCGATCTAATGAAAAGTGCTTAAACCGTCAATAGCTAAATGAGGGAACCGGTGTTTTATCGTCAAAAGTTTCGAAATCTCTCTTGTTATTTTGTTCAAATACAGGAAATTATTTTCTTTTGACATTTATTGTGAAAACAAAGCATGTGACTCTCCATGGGATTTTGATCTGGAAAAGCTTATTCAAACCTCAGCAAAATTTGTTCTAAATATGGAGGTAACAAACTGTGACATATCAAAGTATATTAGAAAGGAAGAAAAGACCTTTACGTCGTTGTTTGATAACCTCAGGCTTGAATTCGATGAAACGCGCACAAAAACTACAAACACGAACAACAAAAGCATTGACCGCGAAGCACATTGGTTTGCAATCCCATGATTGCTAAAGGAAGACAAGCACGCAAGGCGTACATAAAAACCATACAAAATTCTTAACAAAGTACGATACTTGACAGAACCCATAGTTGTCAAATGCTGTCGGTTTGCCAATGTTGGGAAAAGTTACTTCTCCTGTCTTCGTAAAATTGAAGCTGGAAGCGTTACCCAAAAATGCCAACCAGTCCAGCAAGTATAGAATAGATAAGTATTAGCATAAAGGTTTGGAAATCACAATTTCCACTTTCTCATTACAGATACTGTAAAACGATTGTTAGTTCTAAACTTGTAAAGAAAAAAGTAAGCTATGAGAGGAGATAATTTCTACTCAAGCCTGTGGAAAAAACAAGTGCACACCAAATAGTTCCGAAAACCCTACTGGGTTTAATGTCCACAATACTTAGTCCTCAAGTACATTCAAGTAATAACGAAACCGAACAACAACAAAGTTTTTCTACGAACTCGATCAGTTCTCTTTTTTTCTTTGAACCACGAGGTCCGAAAAACTACTACTCAAAACGAGGCTCGATAAACATGACTTCATGTAACAGTCACGAATGTTCGGGGTTAAGCTTGTAATCAGGATTCTCTCCTCCAATTTCCACGTTACACACAAGTTGCAGGGGATGCTCGAAAACATATCCATTTCCTTGCCTCAGCTTTAATCCGCACACCACTCCATCTCTGCCAGTAATCCTACCTACCGCTCGCCCCATCTTCCATACCGCTCTATCTCTTTCTTTACCTTTCAATAACTCTTCCGCCCCTGTTTGCGGAATTTTTTGGATCGTCTGCAGTGGAACTAGATTTTCTTTCTCCAAGGGCGTGTATGTATTCTTTCAAAAACCTCCTTCGAAGCTGCTCCTTGCTTCTTTGTAAGAATTTCATCCTTCTTGACACTTTCTCTTCGCCAATTGCCTCAAGATCTTCCTCCATGACTGGGATTGGTTTCCCTCTTAGTAAGGTGTTTGGGGTAAGCACCGGTTGCTCAAACTCCCCTGCCTGATAAAGTAGTGGCGGTTGTTCATACAGTTCTCTATGTCAATCAGACCATCCTCCAGCTCTGGATAGGTCAAAAGGCTTCGGCCGACCACCTTTGAAAGTGCCCTCTTCATGATGCCAATGAGACGCTCAAAGAAACCTCCCCATTATGGGTCTCGGGCTAGGTTAAACCTCCACCTTATATTCAGAGCTCCAACGTTAGACAACCATTTCCCTGTAGCCACAAATGTTATTCCATTGTCACTTACAAGGATCTGAGGGCATCCTCGCCTGGCAATAAACTCCTTTAGGGCTCTTTGAAATTCAGCAGAAGAGAGATCACGACAACACCTGTTGAAGGCACAAGTGTAATAACTGGACCCAAGTGTAATAAAGGTCCCATCTGTAATAACATTTGGACCCAAACGTAATAAAAGTCCCATCCGTAATAACATTTTAAACCCAAGCGTAATAAAAGTCCCATCCGTAATAACATTATTTTTGAACCCAACCGTAGTCATAAAGGTCTAATATGTTGACCTTTGGTCCCAGCTGAGATAATATGAGACATGCTCACAACAGTGTATCTTAATACAAGGCTGACATCAGGGCTCATGTGACCAAACAGAACGAGATAACACGAACATGAACAGGAAAAATTCCACCGAATCTAGCAATGGCTCTCGGTTCACATTTTGACAAATTTATCACTGGCTATGAAACGTGCTTTTCAAAAAATTCATCGCTCCAGAACTTACAAATAAATATGTCATTCACGTTCACTTATATAAAATTTCAGGCTAAACAGTTTTAAACCCAGTGGAATCTGTTATTATTTTTTGCCCTCTGTCTTCTTGTCATTTTCAGTATTTCACCCTCACGGCTGAATTTTATTGATAGGATTTCATGACTGTCAGTACTTGCACTGAAAAGGAGTACCTTAAATTTAAAATTTTTTTCTTGTACATTAGTGAAATCAAACAAATGCCGTTGCTTAATACAAATTATATGGCTTTAAAAAATTGAGAATTTCCTTCAATCGATGATTGAACGTATAAAGATAACATAAGAATTTCTTTGGTTAAGTGGTAATGGCCATATTTTTCAATGGACAGTGCCGTTTAGCTAATACTCTACTCGCCAAACTACTAGGTGTAAAATTCAGTTTGAAAGTGACATGAAAGCCATGAAGATAAAATTAAATGGCAGGAGTTGGTTTCCGCAGGTCACGTCATTATTAACTTTTTACCTCTTATTGGCTATAATTTGTTGTTGATATATTACCGGTTTGAGTATAAAGATAACTTTTACAAATACGGCCTTTATTACACTTGAGTTCAAAATGTTATTACGGATGGGACTTTTATTACGCTTGGGTCCAAATGTTATTACAGATGGGACCTTTATTACACTTAGGTCCAGTTATTACACTTGTGCCTTCTACAACGCTTCAGGTGTACTGCGCGGGTGCTGGCACAGGTAAATAATGCAATGTAAGCTTTGTCAGTAATGGATTTCTTCACCCTGTAGTAAACTGAATCAGCAAAGTCCACTCCTGTCACTGCAATAGGGTCAGACATCTCAACCCTAAAGTTTGGCAGAGCTGCAGTTGTCACATGTGAGGCAGATATAGGTTTCTCCCGGTAGCGCTTGCAAACATTATAGTTCTGAATCACTTTTTTTCGTCAATGACCTCAGTTTGAGAACCCAGAACTTTTCTTCTTCTTTGGCGAGCATTTGGTTCTCCAGTTTAGGTGTTACAGTCTACTAGCGATGGCTCCTTGTCTGGGCTGCTTAACCAGTTCGGTCCCTCAAACCATAGCCTTCCCAACGTTCTGGGCTCAGCACCTCTGCTTCCTTGGTCTCGCGGGCTTTCGCTGGTGGGCCCATAATGCCATTTCAGGTATCCTTTGTCTTGAATAGCTTGAGTTCTATTTCGCACAAACTTAGTCCAAGTTCCTCGTCCTTTAATCCAGTAAAGAAAAGTGGTGCTGTCGACCCATCCGTGCTACTCTTTAACCGGCCAACCTTGAAATACTTCCTTCACATGATTCATCAGCTTGCTAAGTGTGTGTGCGGCGATAAGTTCCAAGCGTGGGATTGGGAGTTCTCTTGGAGCTATCCTTGACTTTGCAACGAGGAGATTCTGACAAACTGGGGCAGCTGCATGAAGTACAAGAGCGTATATATCTGCTGAAACTGCTAGCTTGCTGGCATCAGAAAATCCATGAAGTACTATGTTCGTCACATCTTTGTTCACGACGCTTCGGGGAACAGATAGCACTGGGGACTCCTCTAATCCTGTTAGCCACTTATTCCAGGATCTCCAAATGTCATCAGGTACCTGTTCATCCCACTTCAGTTTGCGTAAGCAAGTTTCACTGCACAGGATCTTTTCTGTGATCACCACTGGTGCAGCAACACCCAGTAAGTCAGATACACCATTGTTAGCTGACAACATTTTCCACTTTGTCAGTGGCCCTTCAGCAACTGCCTGTAACGGTTTCATGAAGCCAACGGAAAGTTTGTCTTCTGTTTTGTTCCATGGAACTTTTGTTTCCTTAGGACTAGTTCCTACCTCTAGCTTGGCATAAGTGATACTTGCTTGAGAGCAAACTGCATTGTTTTCAGTTCCCTGACATTCTTTCAACTGTGGTAGGTTACTACGAAAGCCGAGGAGGGACTTCAGACTTCAGACTTCAGACTTCAAACTTCAGACTTCGGACTTCAGACTTCAAACTTCATAGTTCAGACTTCAGACTTTCAGAGTTCGTACTTAGGACTCAAGATTTTAGATCTCAGTTAACAGCTTGTTATGATCCAGGTTAAACCTACATAGCTGCGCTGCTTCGAAGAAGTGAATACGGAGGAAGAGGCGAGCGGATTTAAGTAATATTGTCTCCTGACGCTCGATTGGCAAGCTTTTTTTATACCCCCGGTCAATCAATGTTTATAAAGCGCACGTGAGAAAATTGATGAATATGTATAGGGAAATGGATGTTGATTGCTCCAGAGCACTTTCAGGTTTTAGTTTAAATTAAGCTTACAAGAAATCCTCATGAGGGCGCGAACCGCTTGAGAAGTAACGATTTTTTGAGGCATAATTGCGAAAACTACAATGTGAAATAATTCCGTAAGAAGTCTTAAAAAATCCAAACCAGCTGCAAACCGTGCAGTATTTGTGGTCATGACTTTAAAAAAGTAACCTCAAGAAGGTGTGCAGAAACATTTCAATGTATCGCGCACCTATGAGACTAGTAAAAATGGAGAATGGAGTTCCCTCGCCGTTTATTTCAGTTAAAGCAATCGTTATAAACTATGTGATATTTACCCTCCATGACCCGTCACGAAACTGATATGTGGTGAATCCCGGGTGAATTAATATGCAGCTTACGCTTAGACTCCTTGGTTGTGAAATGAAACGCCTAAACGCGTATGGGTACAAATAAATCCGACCCCCTTCTTTAGTAGTGTTGAGTGATTGTACTATCTAAATGTTGCTCGATGCGGTCTGGAAACGTGCGTGTCTGTTATCTTGCAGCTTGATCATTTTCTTGAGCATAATTTCAAGGGCTTGAAGCCATTATTTGAAAAACATGAGGTTAGTATGGGATCATAAGACATAATGGTGTCATGAACGAACAGATTACCTCGCAGCTTTCCCAGCCCGGTCCATTTCAACCCAACTGGACTTTAGGATTTTGCACTCTCACGCCTAGCTGTTTTTTTTTTTTTTTTTTTTTTACTTTTCGGTTTTTCATTAGATTTTCTGGGGGTTGAGGGTAGTGTTTGAAGGTCTTGTTTTTTGTATGGATTTTTTTTATCTTCTGGTGTAAATAACGAACAGATTACATTATATAATAAAAAGAACGGGTTATTTCAAACAAAATAGAATTTAGGGTTTGGCACACCCACGCCTAGCTGTTTTTTTTTTTTTTTTTTTAACTGATCGGACGAAACGTAACGTAAAAGTACGGGAGGAGAGAATAAAGGCACTCTTAGTCTACGTGCCTGAATCTCTCTATACCCTTAACATAAATGACTGCTCAGTAGAATCATTAGACCATCGTTCTGCAAACCCTTGCTAGTCAGATGATAACTTCGTCATTCACGTGGTTTACTCCTTTCTATTTACTCCTTTAGTTTCGTGCCAATTAAACTAAGGTGTGGTACTTGCGTGTTCCCTTCACAGGTTTATAGTATCCAGTCTTCCCAAGAATTCTGAGTGCCGTCGCCAAAATTGTTGTACATTTTACACTCATCTCCTCTCTTAGTAGCTAAGTAAAGGGTACCAGGTTGTTTTGTTTCAATTTTGTGTACATAAATGTCCTAAAACAAAATACTAATCTCCACGGCACGTTACGGATGCGTTGGTTCTAAACATTAAGGACCAAAACGGCACTGTTTGAATTTTACAATACATTAACTTTTTATAACCAAAAAATAATAAAGGGTCTCCTGTTTCTAGTTAAGTAACATACATTCGATTCCGGTCATCAAGTTTTATCTAGAAGATAAAATTCGAGATTGACACTATTCTGCAGTTAACCATATTATTATCCATTATGGGAATACGACTAACTCATGCGAATGCGCGGTTTGGTAATTTATTATTAATATTATTATTTTTAAATTTCGTTTCTCTCGTGGAGTTAAAAAAATTAGATAGATTCCAAGTGCAAATGGCAAGAATACCCGAAGAAACGACGAAGAGCAAGAAACCACTAGCCTTATGCAGCGTGGGCTTTCTCAGCTAGACAAAAAATTCTAATATGTGTTTCCTTCAAGTTGTTAATGGTTTTTTAAAAGAACAATTATTTCGGAATACAATTTAAGAGCCTCGTACTCATTTAATGGGGGTTGATAGTCTGTTTTGATTAGTCTCACTAACTCTTCCATATCCACATTGTAATCAACGCAATTCTCGGCATAAATTTGTTTGCACGCACTTATATCATCTTTGTCTACATTTACCAAATAGTCCTGTTTTCCGTAAACTTCAGGAGTAAAAAACATAACGTCTGGTTTACCGCCTTTTACGTCGCACCGCCTCTGTCGCTGAATATGGTGAGTGTTCCAAAGTTCTGCCACAAGACGCAGTTCTCGTCAAATTATAGGTATAAAACAAAACTTCAGGCATTCCTTGGTAAGATAATCATCTCTGTAAAAGCCAGTATCACGCGGGTCTTTGAAAAGATTCATCCACCATCCGCCTCCTCCTTCACGAAATTTGGACCACCAGGCTTCGATACGCTGATTCCCACAACTTTTGCCCTCCAGAAAACTTTCCGTTCCACCAAAATCGTCCACGTCGTGCCATCGAAAAAACTGTTGAAGGCTTACATTGATTGTATTTTCCCTTCCCCGGTCGCAACGCATCCGTCTAGGAACCCCTTCGAGTTCCTGTACTGTAGTGAGGTAGTGGGAGGCAATAACGTTAGGATTTTTATTCGCTGAATTGACTTCCAACCAGAGAATTCGTCGAGAAAAGCCGTCTACAGCTCCATGAATAAAAATACCAAATGGCGCAAGTTTATCCCAGCCGTCGACATGCCATAAAAAATTCGGACCGGGGGTACTGTACCTTCTTCTCTTTAGGGCACGTTTTTGGCGACGTTCAACTCCTACGGGGTCTATGATGCGGAGTGCTCTCATCACAGTATCTCTTCTCACTTTCAAATCATACTTACGTCTCAGTCGCCTTGTCAACTGACGATATCCCATGAAGGAGCCACATGAATTCTCCAATTCTTCCAGAAGAGCACCGACTATGTGTTCTGTGAGGGATTCAGTGCTATGCCTAGCTCGTTTTAGCCCTAAACGCTTGAGAATTCGTTTTAATGTTCGCACGGAGCAAACAATACCATGTCGTAGAACAAGTAAACCAACTATCTCAGCGTTAGTTAAACCTTGATTGAAGTAGCTCGTAATTAGGTCCTCTCTTTCGAGACCTTCATGTTTCTGTAAGGCTGGTGTTTGCATAGCGCAGTTCGAGAGGCAAACCATGTTTAAAATGGCTAGTAAAGTTAACCTGTAGAAAAAATTTAAACGTCTGTTAAGCTTTTTCATTTAACTATAATTGGATTCACTTAGGCATCACTTTAAACAGCAATCAGGAAAACGTACCAAAACATTACTGCGTGAAGAACTTACACAGCAGCAAGCCATGCAGCATTGAGATTGAATGATCTGAAATCAGAAATCCGGGGTTCGAACTTTGTCAAGTCTGAAGTCTGAAGTCTGAAGTCTGAAGTTTGTTCAGACTTCAGACTTCAGACTTCAGACTTCAGACTTCAGACTTCAGACTTCAGACTTCAGACTTCAGACTTCAGACTTCAGACTTCAGACTTCAGACAAGTCTGAAGTCTGAAGTCTGAAGTCTGAAGTTTGAAGTCTGAAGTCTGAAGTCTGAAGTCTGAAGTCTGAAGTCTGAAGTCTGAAGTCCCTCCCCGGCTTTCGTAGGTTACTGTGCCATTTGTTAAGATGAAAAAAAGTGGCTTGGTTTGTTCAGTAAATTGTGATTTAATGAAACCAAAATGTGAATAACCACTTGGTTATTACCAAGAATCTTTCATGACTTTTTTTCTCAGGATCTTACGAACACAGTCTTGTTCCAGTGTTTAAAGTTTCCTTTTGGATGGAGTGATTCTCAGTTTGGTATGAAAATTGACTTGACTTTGCCTGACTTTCTTTAAGGTCTTGCCAATTAACAGTTTATTGGTACAGTGAAACCCGGTTAATACGGAGACCAAGGGGACATTTCATGGTGCCCGTATTATCCTAGTATCCGTATTAATTGGGGTCTCTGAAAAAAACACCACGGACACATGTTGTAGCGGAACCCTTGCGTGCGCTTACGAAAGGCGCGCAGCGGAGCACCATAGGAAATAAATTTTGGTTGTGTGTGCATCCAAGAAATTTTGATTTTGAGGAAATAGTCCTTAGGTCAGCTCTCATGTTAGCAGATGTGAAATATCACACTTACTAGCCGGGAGTCCAAGGCATAAACTATCTGTGTTTAACTTGATATAGACCTTTCCCACATTACGCTCCAGTGAGCAAACATAAAGAAATGAGGACGAGGCTCGGGTAGACAGTTTCATACAAATCACTATATTTTGTCCACCCGAGCCTCGAGTTCGTACCTTTGTTTACAGGAATACGGGAACGGTTTATTGGACATCCATGTGATGATCAATTGACAGTTGTCGAAGATCCGCTGACCATTGTCACATGACTGTATCGCGACCGCTAACCAACACGAAAAACAATCCGGGCTAAAGGACGTTTGCAGAATTTAACCCCTGTATTCCGGTGTTTTTACATATAATACTCTATCAACGTCTTATACAACTGGGCGGAATTCATAAGACCCTCTCGCCAAGTAATATACGTTTAACAGGGTTCGCACGCACCTTCAAAGTCCTTGAAAGTCCTTGAAAATTGGCGTCAGTGCTGGAAAGTCCTTGAATTTCGGTGCTAACTTTATCCAACCCTTCGAACACAGAAAGACTCTTAGGATAGAATTGCTCATGTTGTGGAAGAACTGAAAAAGACATAGACTCAAGGCTACTGAATGGAGTCCTTGAAAAAATGGGAAATATGACCTTGAAAGTCCTTGATTTTTTTGGTCAAAAAAGGGTACGAACTCTGGCTTAAGACACGATAAACTGACGAAATGGCAAATAATTTTGTTCCCTAAGCGATGTCGGCTCACTGACGTCTGTGATCTCGCTCGCAATGATCATGTTGTAATTTTCAAGTTGTGTCACGCAGGAAGCCGGGATGACCTTCGAGGTTACCAATTACTGTTTAAGTGATAATTATCATGTTTATTCCTTTTTTTCGCCTTGATTTTCTTTCTCTGCTTGTTTCGTTTTAGGTGATGGAGTTTCTAACAAGGTGCCATTAAGTTTATCCATGCTGGAGTAAGTTAAACAAGATATCTATATTTGATCATTTTCGAATCCCCCATAGTACACTCTCTTTGAAAAACAATCTGAGTCCCGGACAGGATTCGAACCTATGACCTCCCAAACACCAGGCGGGCACTCTTTCCACTTGAGCTACGGAGAACGCATGGGGAGCGAGGCCATATACTAGGTTCATATTTGACACGCGTCATGCATACTGCTAGGATCAGCAATGTCGATGTCGCATTGTGCGGTGAAAGAAATGAAAGATGGTAAATTTTTTTGCTGATTATTTCATTTTCACATTTCTTTCACCGAGCTTAAAATTTACCACCTTTCATTTGCTTCACCAAGCCCTTCCTTCTTTGTTAGTCGTAGCGTGAGAAAAAAGCTGACTTTTGCGACGCCACTAATGGTTTCTTTTCCGCGAAATGACGTCTGGGGAACGAGCGCAAAAATGCCTTATTTCCACTGTTGCGTAATTTTCACGTTCATACGCCCGTAAATAAAATATAGGCAATTTATGGAAGGTCAAGCGTAAACGTAAAAGTTGAGAGGCCTTTCATACATCACCTCTAGTTTATTTCCGCGCGTAAAATTTTTGTGCGTACACACGTAGAAATTACGCGGTATGGAAATCCACCTTAAAACAAGAGAACGCCTTAGTGCCTGTTTACGTGGAGGTGGGGGGCCGCAGTTAGGTGGGGTAACCCGCCAGTCCATGTAATCTCTCATTTTAATTTGATGACGTTTACATGATAGGTGGGGTGACCCGCCACATGTTACCTCACCTATCTAAGGTCCCCCACCTCCATGTAAACAAGTACTCATACCTTTGACCGTGGTGTTTCCTGGGAACAAACACCTTAGTGTACCCCTCCTCAGTCCCCCGCTCATTTTGCCCCTGTCGTTGTTCCCCGTTATTCACCCTTTTTTCCCATTAAGGACCCTGGTTCTAGGACACCCAAAGGTCGCCATGGACAGGGAAAATCGGGGAACCTTTTTCTTTTCGTTGTAATTATTACCAAAACTTTGACCCGTAAACTGTAATGTTTATTTGATTCTCCAGGTTCTTGGGATACTTAAAGATCCGTGCTTCGATAAGTTGTCAGTGGTTGCTATGGAAACAATAATGATATCACACATATGTTTTCCTCTTGAGCCAGACGAATACGAACAGGTTAGAAAAATACACGTAACAGTCGAAGCCTTCTAGAGATGATTACCAAATTTCTTCCTCTAGTATCGAGGCTTAACAGGTCAGAGAGGTGATAAGAATTACAGTCAAACTGGGAAAACCGTGAACACCAGAAACATTTCTGGAATGTTATTGTCTTGCAAGAAAAAAGCCAATCAGGCTTGAGAAAACTAAACCGCAAGCAAGAATGTTAATTAGTTTGGTTTTTGGCCATTTCGCGTGTCCTGATCTTTACTGTGATTTGTCATAACGCAATAAACATTCCTGAGATATTTCACTTGTTCACAGTTTTCCAGGTCGCACTGTAAGTATATGATCACATAGGAATAATTCGCCCCGATATTTTAACGAATTCTTCCCACTATTTCCACAAGAAACGTAGGAGGTAAGAAAGGTTTTTTTTTTTTGGTTAAATAACGAGTGTTACACCCTTCGCAAGCAGACACTTGGTCATGGTCCAACCGACACCTCATATTACAGTGGGTTTTTTGATCCTGTGTGTCCACTTCTGGGAGGTTCGACTGTATTATGAAACTCTAGAGTCGTTTGTGGTTTATGGTTTTGTTTTGTTCACAAAATTGGTATCATTAATAATAGTGGGCCCGAGTTGAAAACTCAAAAGTTTATATTTCTTTGACTTGCACTTTAGTGAAAAATAAAGGAAATCTTTGTAAGAGATTTCTCCGATTATAATCAATGGTCGATCGTTTCAATCAATCCGATTATTACCACTTATCGATTAAGAAATCTCAGCCGATTCCCAACACTATTTAAGACCCCTGTTGTTGGTCCATCCGCGCTTTGGGCCGGCAACTTTCCGCTCTGCAAATCAGCGATTCTTCATCTGGGGGAAACGGGTACTTCCTTGAGCAAGATGAAGTGCCAGCGTGTCATTTAAGAGCTCAAGTTATCATGAGTATTAAGCAAACAAGCTGCATAGTGCTTTCACATACTTTTTTGAATGCTCTGTATTGGTGGGAAGTGGCTGAATTTAGTTGATATTTCCTGATCCATGCCACTTCTTGACTCCGCAATACCATTCACTACATCCACCTCTAATTTAATGACTTAGTATCATCGAATGATCTCTTTTTATCTTAAAAGAAAGTAAAAGAAGAAGAAACAGTTTTAAACAAGATTTTGTTTCTTTATATGCACTCTTACCCCGACACGCCTCTAGGTAAGTTGTACCGTCTTTTCTTCAGCTTCTTTATTATATATTGGAAAAAAAACGTTAAAAAATACCAGCATTTAGAGTAATCACCCACGCAAGTTTATTTAGAATGGCACTGAAGCATTACTAAGCGCGATATAAAGTAATTAACCCTTTAAGCCCTAAATCTGATCCGCATCAAATTTGTCCTTGAAATATCAATGCTTTGTAAAACAGAGTGGTTGTGATCACACAAGATGAATTTGCTTGATATTTTTCAACTTCTCCCCACTAACTCTGTAGGAAATGAATGGGTGAAACAAATAAGAATTCAAATTTTGATCTTAGGGTTAATACATTAGGATGTTGTATCCGTTGCATTTTAATTGCTTAAGTGCTCGAATAAACGCAAAAATGTTTTTACAATTACTAAGCGAATCCTCGCGCGCTTATTGGTCGAGAGCTATGGTCTATGAGAGTTTATACAATGATGTGAATGCTACGCGCGCTGTGATTGGTCGTTGCCCATGATCTATTAGAGTACAGATACATGGATGACGTCACGGGAAACTTGTTTTCTTTGTTTTGTTCAACATGGCACGCGGTTTTGAAAATGTTTGTGAGATTATTTCGGATTGAGGCAAGTGAAAGCTTCGGAAAAAGTTTAGCAGGAGCTATTTACAAAGAAGAAAAATGGAGAAACGGAGACCAAAAAAGCTATTGACTACTTGACAATGCCTAAACTACAAGAAATCTTCACAACAGTTGCCATCGTGTGTCTTCGCTACGAGAGACTCGCTGTTTTGCAAAATGTTTTCGCTATTATTCTTCTTTGAGCAAGAAAAGACGGTGAAAAACTTTTCGAAGAAACTGTACACAAGTAAGATAAAGAAGAAGCTAAGATGAAAAGTTGGGTTTGGGACTTAAAAAATGCCTAAACTAACACAAATCCTCAAAAGGTCAAGCGGTTCGAGGCAGGTATGTGTATCGGTCTTTTTCTTTTCTGATCATTGTATAAAACAAATAGATTCCATGTTGGCGTGGGTCTGTTCAGTAATAGATCACAGAGGAGGTCAAAATGTGGTAAAAACAACAGTGACACACTCGCCTGCG